AATAAAACGTTTGTAACCAAACCAAAGTTTCAAGTTTTGGTGTGCATACCTTTTGTGCAATAGCCTTTTAACCACTTGATGACCGAGCTATAGCCCAATGACAGCTACAGAACGGTCGTCTAGTTTTGGGAGGGTGTCATATGACGTCCTCCAGAACCGTTCCTCCCACGCATCCCACCTGGCGAGTTCTGTGATCACTGCGTCCTTTGGGCACAGCTGATCACATGACATGGTAAAAGAAAAATCCTTTTACTACGTGATCAGCTGTGTCCAATGACAATCGGCAAGTGTATATACACATCAGGACATCAGTGCAGCCCCAAGGGGGCATCGGTGCAGCCCCAAGGGAACATCAGTGAAGCCCCAACAGTGTCCATCAGTGGAGGTCGAGGACAGAGCCCAGAGCCCAATGGACACCGAGCCCCGGACACACTGAGCTGGAAGACGACGCTCCGTCTTTCAGGAAGAAGTAACTTATGTGAGGCTGTGCGGGGATCCAGTATTAATTTCAGGACCACCTTGATGTCCTACTAACAGCATCTAGGACCATTGAAGGGAATATACTGGATTCCAGACACCACCCAGACTAGCAGATGACATCAGGACAAATATATACAAATGCTCATTAAATTGTGCGTTCTGGTGAGTGCGCATTCTTTCCGCACTTTATATCACAGCACCTTACTAAAAGGAGGATACAGTCACATGAGAGCACCTGAAGTCACTTCAAGTCACCTAATGAACTGTTTATCTAATGATGTAGATACGCGTACTACTCATACTGTATTTCCCTTTTTAGCGCTGCACTTTTGATTTACATCGAGAAATATTACCTGTTTGCAACATTTTATAACAGAAACAAAGAAAAATGTTTTTTTTTTTTTTAAATGTTGGTCTTTTTTTTGTTTGTTTAGTGGTGAGTAAATACCACCAAAAGAAAGCTCTATATTTCTCAAAAGAAGATAATTTAATTTGGGTACAGTGTTGCATGACTGCGCAATAGTCATTCAAACTGCAACAGCGCTGAAAGCTGCAACTTGGTCTAGGCAGGAAGGGGGAAAAAGTGCTCAGTAGGCAAGTGGTTAACTACTCTGTATATATTTGTCACTTTGCCAATTAAATTGCAGTATCTTTTGACAAGGCATTGACCTGTACCTTGATTGTTATGGATGTTTCTCTTCACTTGGCAGGGAAAGACATCACGCCAGTTTATGGTAATAGTCTAAACAGGCTTATACAACATAAAACACGTCTGTAACTTTACCAATAGCTTTCAGCTGTTATCAAAGAGTTGTCGTTTTCAATTACTCATCATACCTACTGTGGTTCATTTGAAAGTTCTGTGAATAGGTTAGAAAAAAAATGGATTTGTTAGGTTTTAATCCATGTTACGTTTTTTTGTCTGGAAGCATTCACTCACTCCAGGTGCTTACATGTTCACCTGGTTTTCCTTTTGGGGTTATGCTCTCCTGCTGTTTGAATGGATGGGACACGATGAATTCACTCCTGTGCATACATGTGGGAGTCATGATTGCAGGATGGTACTCTGCATTCAGAGATTCAGAATCTAAAACATACTGCATCTGCGCAATTGATGTCATTGGCTACAACCAATGTGCATTTATCCTAAAAGGTACAAGTCTAGGAGGTATTCACAATACCTACAGGTAAGTCTTACTATAATAAAGGCAAAAGAATTATGTGCGCTGCCAAATAATGAGAATAATAATAGATGAGCTGCTGCAAACACGTGTTATGTGTGTAAACATAAATAACAGACTAAAAAAAAATTAAAGTGTCGCGCTGCTAGAATGAATCAATACATGTAAATATACAAATAAAAACATGACTGATAGTCCCAAAAGATGAAAAAACATAAAAATAAACGCAATCCTTTAAAAAAATCCAAATAAGTGAAAAAATCTTCCTGCTGGTGATTGCACCCAAAATCCCAATGCTGTAAATATTCAATACATGTGAATCACCACAGTGAACATAGACTTCCAGGTGGACTCACACCTTCTCGCATGGACCTGTATGTGGACACAGGTCAAAAAAAGCATCTCCCCTATTAATGGGGGTAACACATAACTTGCTCCTCTGTCACCTTACGCGTATCGTCACACAACACGTGACTTCATCACGACTTCATACCTCTGATGAAGTCACATGGTGTGTGACGATACGCGTAAGTGACGTCAGCACTCCTACATCGTTCCGACAGGCAGGGTCTTGCTCTCCATTGTTTGATTCTGACCGCTGTTTCATGCGTTTTTAACACTATTATCATGTGAGTTCATATGCTTTAATAAATATATGCCTTTTAAAGAAGCCTACTGCACTATGGTCTGCTTTGTGGTTGTCAAGTTTTATCCACAGAGCTGGCTGTACTGAAATTGGGTGCCATTTGGGAAGGTCCAGTGGGGATTCATAAGGGGAAGAGTGCACAGAGGAGCAAGTTATGTGTAACCCCCACTAATAGGGGAGATGCTTTGTTTGACCTGTGTCCATATACAGGTCCATGGTGAGAGTCCACCTGGAAAGTATATGTTCACTGTGGTGATTCACATGTAGTGAAGATTTACAGCACTGGGATTTTGGGTGTAATCACCAGCAGGAGATTTTTTCCACTTATTTAGTTTTTTTTTTGAAGAATTGCATCTATTTTTATGGTTTATCAACTTTTGGGACTCAGTCATGTTTTTGTTCATATATTTACATGTATTGACTCATGCTAGCAGCGCAACACTTTCATTTGTTTTAGTCTGTTTTTATGTTTACACACATAACGTGTTTGCAGCTCTTTACCACGCGTAATCAGCTGTGTCCAATCACAAATCATCGGTGGGACACAATGCACCAGCGATTGCTGAGCGCACCCAGGGGTGTGCATATGCAGTTAGAGTGGGAGGACCTCATAAGATGTCCTCCCAGAATGAGAGAACTGCTACCCACCGATCATTTACTTATATGGCGGGTGGGAGGAGGTTAAACATGTGATCATGTGATCTCTACTAAAGAGAAGGAATTCTGGACAACCTTTTGGTGATTCTTATAGTCCAATGAGACTAGTGACAGAGAGGTGATGTAGGAAGATGTATTACTGAACCAGGAAAATTAATTGCTCAGTCAGGAAATGCATGTGTCCAGGACTGCTGTTAGATACCATGAGGCCCCATACAGCCAACCTGAAAGGCTCCCTCCACCACCCCCCCCCCAAAAAAAAACTGTTTACTTTGCTTTAGTTATGCATGAACACAGTGAGTGATCAGCACTGATCATTCATTGTGTTCATTCAGGAAAGGAAGGGACTTGTAAATGCGCCATATTTACCAGATCCTTCTCCATCCTGAAGGATCCTATTTTGCGCTCACTCAGCTGAAAGCCAGTGGGAGGGAGAGGAGGAGAAGCCAGCTTTCAGCTGCTGCAGAGAGCGCCGTACAGGAGAACTGTTCCAGTAATTGCCCCCCTCCACCATGCCGGTCACCCTCCATGCCCACATCAGATTCACCCAGCTGCCTGGGCCCCCTGCTGACCTTGGCCCCTGTACAGGAGAACTGGTGGTACCCCCTTATCCAGGGCCCTGCAAGTGTCACCTGCATAGCTGTGATGTTCGGAAATCATGTGTAAGTCACAAGATTGGCTGTACAGAAATAAAAACCCTGGAAGGTAAAACAGTAACCATGCATGTATGTGTAATTGGGTTTAGCTTTTTTGTCCAGAGATTCTTTTCAGGTAACCTGGTTTATCTATTACAAAATAAACTGCAGGGGCGGACTGACCATTTGAGCACCCGGGCACTGTCCGAGGGCCCGGGGTCAGTAGGGGGCCCCATGAAATGCCCCTGGTACCTTTTATAGGCTTTTTTGGGTGTGCTTTGAGTGTGGGCAAGGACACAGGGGCCCCATGATCCCCTATTGCCCGGGGGGCCCCATGAGTTGCCAGTCCGCCCCTGATAAACTGCTTACAGATTTATATTAATTGAAATGCATATCAACCATATAAAAAAGCATTTATAATGTTGACTCCAGCTCCAAGCTCCAAAGCTCAGCCACTTTCAGATTTCATCACACTCCCATCTCCCATCTCTACTCTAGAGCCATACCAACAATAGTACACCACACTGAGACAACGGTGCACCTATCCTGTATTTTAACCTTCACTTTGTACTGCTAATGTCTGCACCAGAAAGAAGGACTGTAACATTGAGATTCTTAAAGATAAGGGGATCACAATTTTTTTTTTAATAGAATTTAGATCTATCTTTATCTTTTTTGCCCCTGCATTTTTTATCTTCTTACCTATCATATCTGTCATTTCCTCCCTCCCCCTTTTTTAATCTCCTTTCTCTCCCACCATTGGAGCTTACTCTATAGGCATGTATAGATAAATTAATTGAAATCGGATTGGAAATGAAGGATCTATTCTTTATGATTGAGCAGGTATAATTCTTTGCTAACTTTGACTGAGAACAAGAATGTATTTATACAGAAAACCAAAGAGTTGATTTACTAAAGACAAATAGGCAGTTACTTTACAAGTGAAATTGAACTCTGCAAGATAATTCACTCAGGAGCTTAGTGAATGTGCTGAAGCATCACTTTACAAAGAATACCCAACCATATGCAAGGAAAAAAAAAAAAAAATAAAAAACAGCATTTTTTCTTCATGATGGAAGTCAGCAAAGCTTCACCTTATTCACTAAGCTCTAGGTATAATTTCCTTGCATAGTGAAGCTGCACATCTAAATGAATACTTGTGATCAGCAGCTTTCAATCATGTGGCTGCTGTGACAGCCAATCACAGCATTCATATGATTGGAATGCCTGCCTCCGCGCATTTTGATCCACTTAAAGGTCTGGGAGGGAAGGGGTTAATTTATTTGCAAATTAACCGCATCCCGTCCGCCATATAGTAATATGATGGACGCAAGGTGGTTCTCTCATTTTGGGAGGACGTTATATGACGTCCTCCCATTCTAAACGCGCATGCGCGGCTCCTGGAGCGCGCAGCGCGGCGATCAGCGGTCCGCTGTGTCCCTTGGACACAGCGGATCACCGATCCACAGAAAGAGCCGAAGATGTCGGCTCGGTCATGTGATCAGCTGTGTCCAATCACAGCTGATCACACGTAAACAGGGAAATGCCGGTTATCGGCATTTCTCTCCTCTCGAGCTGTCACTCTGACAGCTCGAGAGGAGAGGAGAGCCAGTAATCAGCATTCCGAGGAGGGGACATGTACACTGATCATCAGAGCACTGATGATCAGTGTGCCCTGATGATCAGTGCAGCCCCAGCAGTGCCACCTGTCAGTCTCCATCAGTGCCAGCTGTCAGTGCTCATCAGTGCCACGTGCCAGTGCCCATCAGTGCCACATCAATGCCACATATCAGTGCCTACCAGTGCACATCAATGCAACATATCAGGGCCCATCTGAGCTGCCTTTCAGTGTCACCCATCAGTGGAAGTCAGTGCCACCTATCAATGCTGCCAATCAGTGCCACCTATCAGTGCCGCCTATCAGTGTGCATCAGTGCCACCTAACAGTGCCAGTCAGTGCCACCTAACAGTGCCAGTCAGTGCCGCCTAACAGTGCCATATATCAGTGCTGCCTTTCAGTGCCCATCAGTGATGCCTGCCAATGCCCATCTGTGCCACCTACCAGTACCTCCTCATCAGTGCCCATCAGTGCCACCTATCCGTGTCCATCAGTGCAGCCTATCAGTGCCCATCACTACAGCCTCATTAGCGCACATCAGTGAAGGAGAAAAATCACTTTTTAAAAAAAAAATGTCAGTGGTTTTTGGTTTGTTTAAGAAAAAATAAAAAACCCAGAGGTGATTAAATACCACCAAAAAAAAAGCTCTATCTGTCACAAAAAAATGATACAAAAAATTTCATATGGGTACAGTGTTGCATGACCGCGCAATTGTCATTCAAATTGCAACAGCGCTGAATGCTGGAAATTGGCCTGGGCAGGAAGGGGGTATAAGTGCCCTGTAGGCTTGTGGTTAAAGGGTCACACACATTACATCGCTTTCAATTTTAGGCTGAAACATAGTTACAAACCATTACCATTAATGACATTCTGATTTTTAGCATTCAGGGAAAATCAGAAGATCATTCTATTGATTGTCTGATCATTAGAGATCTAACACTGACATAAAAAAAAATAATTTGCAAAACAGCATTCTGAGAATAAAGGAAGGCATACATATAAGGGATTATCAGGTTTTTCTGAAGAGTAAGGGATATAACTCCTTGCAAATGAGGTTGTAGCTAAAAAAAGAGAGCTCCTGAACTGTAAAGAACACTTTGAAATAATGAAAAACACTTTAGAAGGCCTAGTTTTTGATTTATTAAAATTATGGCTAATGAACTGAAAGTTACTCTTCAGCATATGCCTAACATTGCTCCGATCACACAAGTCCAAAAGCAGACAACAGATGGAGTTGCTAATAGGGAGGGTGAGGAATTAAACCGAAAATATATTTTCTAATCCCATACCATGTCCTGAGGAAACGGAGATGGTTAGTTGTTTACTTTCGTTTTTTTTTCCCTTGTCTCAATTTTTTAATGAAAAGAGTAGTTAGCACACTACTCTTCATATCAGCAAAGAACAGCTTTCTCATTTAATCATAGCTTATCAAGGCAACAAGATGACAGATGACAGTGAAAAAAAATCAATGCACCTGAACAAGATGTTTTATAATAAATATAACAAATATAGTAACTACGCAAGTTACTTTTTTAAATAAAACATCAAACTGAGATCATGGGGCTTTTATGAAAAGTGTGCTATTTAAAAAAATATTATGTTGCCCATAGATTTTGTTATTTCCAAATTTAAAAATAAGCAAGGATTCTTGATGAAGCTTTCATTACAAGACAATTTCTTGCTCCTGTTTCCTACATCTGCCCCACTTCACTTCAGTATTGTAAGACTACTTTTAGATTTCGGGAAGCCTAGGAGATCAGTGTTATGCTACAAATCAAAAAATAAATCAAGCAAGACTCTAAATGTCAATGCAAAGGAGAACAAATGTTGTTGATTTATTGTCACCTGCATAGGGCAACCTGATAAAGTTTATGGTGTTATAAAAAAAATGAATATTGCTTTCAGTAGGTTATATTATAGTTAACTACTTGGAAACAGGCCCTGTATTTATACACAGAAACATTATCAGTTTAAAATAAGCGTTTTACAAGGTCACTGTTCACTTTAAATATCATTTTCATTAAAACACTATCAAGAACTTTTGCAAAACACACTTTATAGTGACTCAGTTTCATGAGGGTATGCTTTTTCTTCCATATACAGAAGATGCACATGGAGAAGTAAGGATGTAGTAATTATTTTCCAGATGATAATTTGTTTTTTTAAAATAAAATAAATACATGGGTATGCTATATTTTTATGCCAAGGGCATATCTAAACCCAAAAACAAAAAAATAGGAATTTTAATTTACCTGTAAACTCCTTATCTTTGCGTATATTACAGGTCACAGAACATGTTTCATACTGTATACAATGTGCACTGTACTGTACTCAGAGATAAGTAATTTACATGTAAGTAAAATTTTTTTGTATTTTAATGCTAAAGAAATAAAGAAAAACACAAAAAGAGGGCAAAAATGCCTAGTGCATTATCTATAGCACCTTATTAACCTCCTTAGCGGTATTCCCGAGTGTAGCTCGGGTAAAATTTCAGTACCAAGAGCGGTAACCCCGAGCTACACTCGGGCTTACCATGCGGCGTTGCTCAGGGAGTCCCTGCAGAACTTACCTTGTCCTTCACTCCCACGATGTGTCCCCTGCAGCGTCCCCGGCCATCTCCTCCGACCGATGCCGGCATCCGGCTTCCGTGTTCTGGTCCCTGTGACGTCGGGACGTACGGGCGCCAGAACCAGCGGCAAATTTGAAATTTTTTTAAAAATCTCATTTGTAAAAAAATGATTATTACATAGTAAAACATTGCTGTTTCAATGCATTTCACATACATTTTGTCCCTAGTGCTTTGTCCTGTGCCCTGCCTGCATTTTGACTGTTCTTTCTGCCTGGAAACTTAGAAAAGTCCATGGCGTCCAAAAAGCGTCCCTTTACGTCAAAAGCGGTTTTAGACCAGCTAGAGAACAGCGATAGTAAATTAGAACCACTTGCAGAATTGAGTGATAATGATTTGTGGGGAAATTCGTCATCAGACACTGAAAACGATTTTGTGACTTTGCTCAGCGATGTGCGAATTTGCCTCTGTATTTCAAATTTCAGTGTTTTTGGTTTGATTATATTATTGAATTAAATTTATTATTATTATATTATTATTTTTTATGATTATTTATTAAATTATAATTTATGATTTTGTGTTTCAAATTTTATCATATCCGGAATGTTTACTAGACTCTTGTTTGTACAGATTTCAGTGAGTTATTCCTAAAAATTACAGCCTACAATAAAAAACTACATATTTCCATGCAACAAAAATGGTACCGCTTTCAGCACAAAAAATCGGAAATAATCATACCGCTAGGGAGGTTAAAGGGAAAAGGAAGACATAAATTATGCTCACGCACGTGGGATAAAAACATGTATAATGCACAAATCACAGGTTAAAAACTTCTGCTATCCAACTAATGAATACTGTAGCTGACTCTACCACTGTTATCGGGGAACTGGCCACCTTCTTCAGAGGTAGCTCCCCCACCTCTACCCTAATAAACAGCATTATAACAGACCACACCCCAACGAGGCTAGGAATGGGGTGGGAAGGATGGAGGAGTTGAGGGACAGCATCCCCTGGACAAGTCTTTATGAGCATAGATCATACACAGTGGCTTATTACCAGTGCTCAACATACATTAAAACCATCAATGAATCCACCAATAAAACATCACTGAACATCAATGTGTCCAATCATAAAAACATTGCAAAGTGACCACAAATAGGAGTAAAATAATGATAAAATTGGCACTATTGCATGAGATTTAGGATGTACGAGCAAGCAGATATACTGACATGAAAATTTAATGAACTACCATGGCGCTCCACAGCACCATGGTAGTTCATTGAGATCTACAATTCGACAGCTGGTAAGGATGTCGGGACTTGTAGTTTCTCATTCATAGAGGACAGTGAATGGGTGACGTGACCGGGCAGGTGGAGCCTTGCACAGCCACGTTTTTTTAAAAAATTTGACAGCTAGAGGGTGGGTAAGATCCTCCACTAGCTAACTGTCAAAGCAGGTGATCGGCGGGTACAGAGACCTGTGACTTCATAATATGTTATATGTTACACACTGAATATGGGTGTAATATGTTATGGAAGGTGAACATATCCTTTAATAAATAAACTATGTACATGTTATTGTTAATTAATCTAAGTGCTGGATGTAAAAATAACTTAAAAATGGGTTAACAATTATAGTAAAATAAATAAGAATAAAAATAATAAGCAAAAACCACAACATCAACAAGGCACAAAGCATGATCAGGGCTGACTAAAAGTAAAACCACAAAACAAGCACAAAAAACATGATACATTTATACAAAAAAACTGATACTACAATCCAAGGAAAAAAAATGAATTCAGATATGGAAACCTATATAAACTATGTAATGTACTCTACATATATGGATAGCACACAGAATATACACTGCTCAACAAAATTAAAGGAACACTTTAAAAACACATCAGATCTCAACGGGGAAAAATATCATGCTGGATATCTATTCTAATATGGACTGGGTAATGTGTTACTAACGTAAGGTTGCCCCATCGTTTGATGGAAATGAAAATTATCAACCTGCAGAGGACTGAATTCAAACACACCTCGAAAATCAAAGTGAAAAAATTATGCAGCAGGCTAGTCCATTTTTCTGAAATTGCATTGCAGCAACTCAAAATGGTACTCAGTAGTTTGCATGGCCTCTGCGGGCTTGTATGCATGCATGTCAACGTCAGGGCATGCTCCTAATGAAATGATGGATGGTGCCCTGGGGTATTTCCTCCCAGATCTGGGGCATCACTGAGCTCCTGGACAGTCTGAGGTGCAACCTGGCATCGTCGGATGGACCAAAACATGATATCCCAGAGGTGTTCTATTGGATTTAGGTCAGGCAACTGTGGGGGCCATTCAATGGTATCAATTCCTTCATCCTCCAGGAATTGCCTTCATACTCTCACCACATGAGGCCGGGCATTGTCATGCACCAGGAGGAAACCAGGACCAACTGCGCCAGTGTAGGGTCTGGCAATGGGTCCAAGGATTTAATCTCGATACCTAATGGCAGACAAGGTGCCATTGTCTAGCCTGTAGAGCTCTGTGCATCTCTCCATGGATATGCCTCCCCAGACCATCACTGACCCACCACCAAAATGGTCATGCTGAACAATGTTACAGGCAGTATAATGTTCTCCACCCTTTCACATCTGTCACATGTGCTCAGGGTGACCCTGCTCTCATCTGTGAAAAGCACAGGGTGCCAGTGGTGGACCTGACAATTCTGGTTTTCAATGGCAAATGCCAATCGAGCTCTATGGTGCAAGGAAGTGAGCACAGATTGTACTAGATGATCTC